TACCTGTTTACTTTAATACAGTTTAGAACAATATCTGTTTGCTTTAATCCCTCTTTTGATCTCACCTTCAGAGATCAATTTATACACAGTATTTGAAACTTAACCTACTGTCATTCTTTTCTACTGTCTGTTCCCCAACATTTATATAAATCCATCAGAAGCTGGGATTTAGAGCACTTTTAAACCTTTAGAAACAGTCCATCATAACAACTTTTAATGACAGTGGAGGGAGACCAAAATATGTTAAAAATTGTCCTTGTCGGCTGAGTCATCGTGCTCGTCCTCCTCCGACGCGTAAGCCAGCAAGGGCATTTGGTACGAAGGGGAAGGGGCAGCTTCTCCCTAAAAAAATGGGATATTAAAACAAAGTTCCTCAAAAAATGGGATATTAAAACAAAGTTCCTCAAAAAATGGGATAGTGAAACAGAGTTCCTCAAAAATGGGATAGTGAAACAGAGTTCTTCAAAAAATGGGATATTAGAACAAAGTCCACACCGGCTATATCCACCTGTTTCAGCGGAGAGTGGAGTCCCCTGTGCCGTCTTGGCTTGCCGTGTCTTTGTCCCCCCCCGATCCGCTGACGGCGGCTTCTGGGCTGCCTGCTAGAGAGATGTCTTCCTCCTCCTCCGGCCCGCTGATGGCGGCTTCCGGGTCGATGCTGGAGAGATGTCTTCCCGATGCTCCTTCTCCGGCCCGCTGATGATGTCCTCCCAATGCTCCGGCCCGCTGATGATGTCCTCCCGATGCTCTGGCCCGCTGACGACGCCTCGAGGTCCTTCTCCTCCAGTCTGCTGATGACAGCTTCCGAGTCGACCTCCTTGACGAGAGCCAGATCCGTCCTGATGTCGTCCCCTGGTCCTAGCAGGTGGTTTCCCCGCCGCACACTGGCTCCAGCTGTCCCCCTTTCCTCCTAGACGGACGGCAGAGATCCGCTGGGTCACTCGGTCAGGGCCGGAGAGCCTGGGGTTGAGCCACTTTGTCCTGATGACCTTCAGCCAGACGAACTCCGCTGTGTCGGCCTCCTGGGTCCCTCTTTTGGCGCCAGCAACCTGTGTGGAGAAATCTGATACAAATCCCTCAAGCCTACGCTCAAGGCTCCGGGGCCCTCAGCTGTTTGACCCACCACTGCGTAGGCCGCTTGGAGCCTGTTGGTGGAGTGTCTTAAAACAACAGCCGTCTGGGAACAGGTTTTCTAAATTAATTGTAGACCTCCTATCTGCCAGTGCAGCTTCAGAATCTTAATACTTGGACTGTGCCAACTAAATAAAACATCTTTAGGTAAACTAAATAACATATTTCAATAGCTCTGAATTTCTGACAAGCATCTGTGTTTATTCTTAAATGAAATCCTTGAGATCCTATTTAAAATCTAAATACAATATGAACTGCTAATGTTTCTGGTAAAGAAACACACTAATGTTATGGATTCAAAAGCAACCAAAATCACGATACTAACAAAGTGAATGATTTCCTGGTGATACTGCTTTTACCTGTCAGTGCTTAGATATTATCACGCTGAAAAATGAATACAGAATTCCAACAAACTGTCATCAAATGTCATTCTATTATGAATTTAGATGAAATGTATATCCCCATAATGACCTAAACAATAAAGTCTATGGCTTTTACTCCTTTACCAGGCTAGTTACATGATGTTGTCTAAATTAAATTATGTCTCATTACATTACTATGTTTTAGCTTTAACTGCAATATGTTCTTTCTACATTTCAAACCTCAGTTACTTTTATACCTGTTGAAACATTACTCACAGGTCAACTTCTTCAGTATTCCATTCTGGAATTACATCTCACACAGTAGCCCCTTGGCCACTGATTCTGCATCTGTGTTACCTGCTATAACTCAACCAATATTAGAGACATGTCAACATTCACCAAACAGTATCTTATCCCCAGATATGGAGCAGGTCAATTCTAAAACTGTCAATCAATGGTCAGACACTCCCCCTTTTTTACACATGAACCCATGTGTAACAAAATCCTGTATGGGAAGAAAACCTTCAGGTAATAATTGATTATAAGAAAATACCAAACACTTTTCCCAAATGTACATCCATCATTTCCACAGTAAACACTTCAGTGAAATGAAGTGTTTCTCTCCATCTTTCAGTCCTAAAAGAAACAGAATCTTCATGTGTTAGTTTGAGGTTCACATTCTGCAAACAGCCACTGCCTGTGGGAGTGAAATATCAAGTAGATTAGAAACGGGTCACACATTTTAGGAAACCTCTCATTTCCCACAGAGCCTTAGAATAATGTGTTAGGCCAAAAGCATGCTTGATTAGTCATTGTTTTAAATCATGCAGTTGCACTGATCACATGCAGACATACACTCACTCACACTGTCAGGTTGTAAAGTCAAGTTTGGTCAGGTTCACCCCAGAGTCAGTCATTGACAGTGCCTTCTCAAGTCACACTGTCAGTCAGGGTCAAAGGTCATTTGGTCTCAGTCTTTTTGGCCATGTGTCGTGCTCTGCAGAGACTTTGATATTTCAGCATAGGCCAGTATCCTTTGTCTACAAAAATCTGTCATATATGGAGCGCCATCATTTATTAATTCACGATTACAACTATAATGTTCAAGATATCTCTAACTTTTCATTGGGACAGCTGTTTCCCACACTTCCTGCAACTTGGTACAAAACTCACTTCCTTATAGTTCTACTACTGCAGTTCATTAACACCTAATCTATATTAAAATGTCTAATAGATCAGAAACTTGTGCATATAATTATTTTCTTGAGTCAAAACATTATTAGGATCTGTAAAGCTCTGCTATGTATTTCATAACTCATTTTATTAATTTATCTTCAATTCTGGTGCACTTAAAGAACAATGTTACCCTCTTTAACAGTGCGTGGAACCTTGGGTGTCCGAACATGCAACAATTACTCCTTCCTTTATCATGGATTTAAAAACAGAAGTCATTTCGTATGTCCATCCGAAAGCCCTCCTATGGTAATAACTATGCCACAATGGTGAAATCAGTACCTCAAATTGAAATACTATATTTTGTTTAGAACTAGCTTTCCCTTCAACATGACCTATATAAATAAATGTTTGTCTGATCTTATAGAGATGTTACTAAAACTCTCCCTTTGAACTGATCCATACTGTAACAAATTAAAACACTACCAAATTCACACATGAATAAAAACTCTAAAAGAATAATTTGTAAATATGATGAAAAGATTGAAGAATATGGTTCTACACTGTACTCCTAACTCCCAAACACCCACTACTTAAAGTCTAGTGCATACTTCCATCATGCCCCCCCCCCCCTTTTCCATCAGTGTGTTTTAGGATGATTTTTCACTTCACTTTAATAGTTTTCCTCTTTACCGCTATTTTTAATTTACCAATTGAATAATTCATGGTTAATACATCTTCTTATCTTCACTTATTTATCAAGTCAATTCAAGTTCTTTAAATTTGGTTCTTTAAAATACATTAGTAGATACCTTGTGGAGTATTCACAATAACTAATCCTCTTTATGAAATCCGTTCATCTTTAAGCAGATACTTTTTCCTTATTTATCTTTTGTTCATGATAACAATGGTATAACAACCACACGTTTTACACATAGCTAGTTTCTATAACAAGATTATTATGTGTGACATAATAATCAGATGTCTTGTTTGCTAACCAAGAATATTAAACTTTAATCTTTTCAGTATTCCAGACCATCATTTAAACAAGCAGCCTCTTATCTAAACATTAAGCATTAAGGTTTCTACACCACCCCCCGGGAAACTCTTGCACAATTATGCTGTAAAATCATTGCATCACTCCTTCAGAGTCTGAACAATCTGAGACAAGCATGTCTCAGGATATTGTCATAATGAGCACAGTCAGTGATGCAGCTGTGGTCAGTGGCAGGGTCCCCAAAAAAGCTAGGACCGGCCCTGGTCAGTGGGCTCCAAGGAAACTCTCCCTGGCATTGGGATGAGGGAAGGAATCACTTGGCAGACACACGTTGTCCTCTGTACAGCAGAAATCCCCCAAAACCGCAGTACCTCTTCACACCACTGTTGCCTTGACAACGAAAAATGTCAATATCTCCTCAGAGATGCGTTCTTTGCAAACTTCTTCTGTTTGCAGTGAGCAATTCTTCACCAACACACTGATTCAGAGAACCCAAAAGGTGGTGCAGGAATATCCAATGCTGCTGTAATCACATTCAGCTACTGAGAAAAACTCAATTTAAATCTCTCTCCCAACGGGTTACAAAATAAAACGGCTGAGGTCAGGAATGCTGAAACATGTGAATGTTAAAACAAACTAATGGTAGTAGTCTGCCTATTCTTTATTACTTCAGTTCTAAGTTAATAGGCAAAACAAGGACACCCTCCTTAACCACTAAACTAATCTTTTATCTACTTGGTTAATGCTATTCATTTTCAAATTGTTTATCTAAGTTGTGTTACAAGCATGGTGAGGTTGTAACAGAATACACAAATAACTGTATTCAATCCGCGCCGTATTTGAAAACTGTAATGAATTAAAATCAATGTTTAAGGACGTAATATAAGTTAAATATATTGTTAAGCTAATCACTGTTTTATTGTGAAGGCATCTCTGGTGCACAGCGGCCTGTGGCTTTTATTTTTAAAGGCCGTTCCGGAAATATACTCCGTAATGTGAACAGTGAGTTTGACTTCCAGAAACACGGAAAGTTACGATAACAATCGTTCTAATGCATTAAATAAAGTCATGAAAGAGACAAGGAGGGGAAAAGGCGTGTGGAAGTAAGCAATGAACTGAAAATGCCACCAATCCTCTGTTTTAACGTGATGGCGGACATTGAAAACCGAAGAGGGCATAAGCACCCCTGTCTTACACATTAATAGATTCCTTCTGACTGACAAGCGTTCAAAAACCCTTCTGCTTATCACTTAGGCTACTTCTTTTTGTTTTATTCATAACATAAAAATACAATTGTGATGAATAGCTTGCTCTTTTTCTGGTTGAAACAAAGGGTCTACTCTTCTTCCATAATTGACTTCGTATCTATTATCTGACTAAATTACTTGTATTTATTAATACACTGGACAAATCTTGTCGTCCTATATTCTATTCTGAATTCAGAGTTCCAATCCCAGAATATTGTTACACCCTGTTCGGAGCTCTCAGCTCTGCAATTGTCTTGTGTATCTCCTGCTATGCTCTATTTTCTCAATTATTACACCGATTCGACGTAAAAAGATCACACAGAGTTTATTCCCTTATACATTCTGTCCGGCTTTTTTTGTGCGATGTATATTTCAACAGATAATTCTGGTCTTTGCCGGTGCTTCGACACCCCTATATAGAGATGCGACCGACACAAGGAGATTAACCCAAACCAAAAAAATCCTTTATCGTCACGTTTAGCCGTTCAGATCACCCCCACAGCAAGAGTTTGCGAGATCCGGTCGTTTCAAATTGATTTTGAAAGTTGCGTATCTCCTCTTGAAAACCCACATATAATATTCAGTCTATAGTCTACAGAATTTTCCCAGCGAGTCAGCCGTGCCGGACTAAACTACCTCACGCTCTCGCTGGTTCACTTTTCTTTTTTTTCTTTTTTTCTTTTTAGTGAATTAAGGTACGGGACTTATAGCTATTTACCCGACTCTTACAAACACTCAGTGCCTTAGCTGCAGGACTCTATACCTGACTAAGCACTTTAACTCGGTGCCTTAGGTCCGGACTGTTCTACCTGACTCTAAGCCCCTTCTTACTTTAGTGAGTTAAAGGTACTGGACTCTATACCAGACTCTTCAAACACTCAGTGCCTTAGCTGCAGGACTCTATACCTGACTAAGCACTTTAACTCGGTGCCTTAGGTCCGGACTGTTCTACCTGACTCTAAGCCCCTTCTTACTTTAGTGAGTTAAAGGTACTGGACTCTATACCAGACTCTTCAAACACTCAGTGCCTTAGGTACAGGACTCATCTACCTGACTCTACAAACACTTTGTTCAGTATTGTATTTTTTACCATGACTAAGGACACTGAGAACGCCGCTGACAACTCTAAAATGTTTGTAGTATAGCCAATCACAGACATTGACAATCAACAGGTGTCTGATCACCTTTGTATCTGGACGTCCTGATTTAGTTGTCAACGGTGTGCAGGTGTCCTTCCCTGGACTGAAATTCGTCCGCTGGCTGTCGGTGGTACTCCTAGAGACCAGCACTCATCACGTCGGGGTCACCAGATTGTAGGAGCAGACACAATAGTGGTGGCTCAAAGCCCAACACCCCCCCAAAACACCCGCCGTTGCGAGGCTCTGGCGGCTCCGGCAGGTCCGGTGCAGCGGTGCTGTGAAAGGACCCAGGTTCGATTCCGGCCTGAGGTCCAAAACATTTATTTTTTTAAATAAAAATAAAAAATCTCCCGTTCATCACGTCCATTCGCGACCCACCTATCACATCTCTGCACCCCACCAGTGGGGCGCGCCCCACACTTTGAGAAACGCTGCCCTAGGGGGTCGTACTGACTTGCCAGCACTTTGTAGATGTTGCCCATCGTGATTTCACCATAATCCACGGGACGATGCTTGTAGCCCAGGATATCCTTTTGGAAGAGCCAGCTCAGTCCTAGAGTGGATTCTGGGACATCTGTCTTGTTCTGAGCTCAACACTGGTAGAGCGACTCTCTTCTGGTAGGTGACTGATGACCTCTGGTTGATTGCTGGCCCATTGACGCAGCTCGAAGCCTGCAGATGCTAGGATGGCTCGTAACTTGTCGACCAGGTGCCTCGCCTCAGCAATGGTGGGGACGCTCTGTAGGCAGTTGTCTACATAAAACCACTTCTCGACTGAGCTCCTCACCTCTTCATCTGTCTGACTATGGTCGATGACGTGGCGCTGAAGGGCAAACGTAGCACAGCAGGGGCTACACGTCGTTCCAAAAGGTAACACTTGCCATTCGTACACCGCAGCAGGATCTTGACTGCTGTCTCGCCAAACACATCTGAGCAGGTCTCGATCTCCTGGGAGGAGTCGAACCTGGTGGAACATGCCCTTGATATCTCCACTGATTGCTACTGCATGCTCTCGGAACTGCATGCTCTCGGAAGCGTAGCAGGACTCCAAGGAGAGATGCTCCTAAGGTCGGCCAAGGCAACAGATAGTCATTGAGATTTTGCCCTCGATACTGAAATGAGCAGTTGAACACCAGTTTGTTCTTGCCATTATGGCTTACCATGTGGTGAGGAATGTACCACGACTCACGACCTTCCTCTACTGATACTTCAGGGTCACACTTGATGACAGAGCCTGCCTTGATCAGCTTTTCCATCTCCACTTTGTAGGCTTCAGCCTGCATAGGGTTCTTGGCCAATCTCCTTTCTATATTCCGTAGACTGTGCATGACGGCTTCTTTAGTAGCTTGAAGGAGTGGCATGTCTTTCCGGCGTAACAGCGGGGTGGCATAACGGAGTATGTCGTTAACCTGTACTCCGATGGTTTTGGTCTCCAGGGTACCGATGGCCTCTTGGTCCTCCCTTGAACGTGTGACTAGTTTCTCGCTTCTGAAAGGAAGAGTGTCGACCTGCCACATCTCGACATGCTTCGTCAGCTCATTCACTTGTGGTGATACTGATGTGAAAAAACACTGCTGTGGTTGTGCGAGATGATAGACAACACTGGCTGGGCCTTGCAGCATCCAGCCTAGCCTTGTGTGAATGGCAGCCGGTCCCCCTTTTGGGCCTAACCTGACTCGTTCAATGGGGGTGACGAGATGTGGGTGGTCACTTCCAATGAGAAGCAGAGGCTTCACATTTGTGAGGGTCCGGATGGGAAGGCCAATGAGGTGCTTATACCTCTCCCGGAGTTGCTCCATAGGGTAGTTATGATCTGCTAGTCCAATGTGAGCAGTGGTGAAAGCACCTGTAATCTTGAACCTGGTCTTCGGCTTAGCAGGAGAGGAAATGGAGAAGGAGACTGATGCACCGCGAAGGGTCTGCACCAGAGTTCCCGTTAGCCGGTAATTACCGGACTACGACCGGTAAAATATGCTGAAGACCGGCAAATCTAAATCTCTCCGGTCAAAGTGTCCGTTCAAAATAATTTCTGTTTAGCTTAATACCGCATCAGTTGCGCAACTTGCGCCACTTATGTGACAGACAAAAGAGTATGTGACAGACATTAGAATGGACTATTCTTGTCTAACACTTAATGTGGAGAAAGAGATGTCCTGTATGGGTTGATTGTGCGTTGATCTGTTGGTAATGCCTCCGGGTTCCGGTGGGCATGTAAACAAATGCATAATGCTGCGCTATACTTTGTGGCCTCACCCAGTTGCATAGCGACGCTTATTGTTTAGGTGTCTTTTAATAAGCAGGTAGTCCTATCATTAGCTAGAACTAGCTAGATCTGATCGATATGGACATGAACGCGAGTAAAGTCTAATCTGGGGCGGGAGAGAGAGATCAGTTGCTGCTGACGAGTCGACAGGCAGCTCTGCATAATCACCTGCAGCGGTGAGCGGAACAAAGCACACACTTCAGGTTAGAATATCACACATAGCTATTTTAATGACCTCTCAAACTACCTAAACTAGTTATAGATATGTTTAGTTTTACTGTCGGGTCACTCATTACTGATCCGCGAGCTGCATGATACTGACGGGCTGTCAGGAGAGGGAGAGAGCGCTCCGTTTATTATTCCCGTGTTATTATAAATTACTGTACACTTTTGAATAGTTAATCTACTATAATTAGTTTGTTTAATATCGAATCATATCAATTTGTTTTAAAGCACAATAAATAACAAAGAAGGCCTTTGACCGGCACTTTTTTCATTTTGTCCAGAAGATTTAAACTTTAACGGACATGTTGACCGGCGAAAATATATTCTAACGGGAACTCTGGTCTGCACATCCTGTCTGATTGTGCGTAGTGGCAAGTCCTCTGGGGTCCCTTGCACACCAAACTTCTCTACAGCCTCTGGCAGCAGCATAGTTCTCTCTGAACCGTCATCCAGTATGGCATAGGTGTTGATGAATCGATCCTTATAATGGATGCGGACTTTGACGACTTTCAGAAGGACTTGACTGCCTTCAGCGGGTCTGTCCAGGTACAATACCTCAGTCGTGGCCCTCATGCCATGGTTCTGCGAGGTTGGTGCTGAGTCTGTCTCCTTTGGTGGCCTCAAGTTCACATCATGCAGCACCTGGAGATGTTTCCCTTGGCAGAGGCCACATATCTTCTTTAAGTTGCACTGCGCTGCCTGGTGTGGCCGTGCACAGCGCCAACACCTCTTATTGGTTCTTATCCATGCTGTCAGCTGTTCTTTGTTCAGCTTGGTTACTGCTGTACACTGACTGAGGTAGTGGTCCTCATTATTACAGTACGGACAGTATGGCTTACTCTTGTTCCCTTTGAAGGAGTTACCTGGAACTTGAGAGTCTGGTTTCTTCCAAGTGTCCTTGGCACCATGGAGCACAGTGGTGTGGTGCTTGCCCTGCCGTCCCTCAGGTCTGGATGATGACTCCCACGATCCCTTCACAGCTAACTGTCCTTCGGAGTCCTGGCACCAGGACTCATATTTCAGCCACTCTGCGAGATCTATAAGGTTGTGAGTTCTTGAGCCCTGACGGAACATGCAGCGGCGGAAATCTGCTCTCTGTTCAGGCGGCAGCTTACTCAGCAGACGAGCAACATGTGAACCACACTGTAGCTCCACTTCTCCCTCAGACCCTATGGTTCTCAGCATTCCCACTAATGACTTGATCTGAAGAGCAAACTTCTCGAAGGCAGCAACGTCTCCCCGCTTAATTTCCGGTGAGTCCATCACAGCAGCAATACGCTTCAGCGCTATCTGATGTGGTTGGCCAAACTTATCGTTCAGGGCAGCCATAGTGTCTGAGAAGGGCGTTGGAGAGTTGAGGTAAGCATCTGCTATTAACCTGGCTTCTTCTAGTTGCAGGTGATCCACCAACACCTGATACTTGAACAGCTCTGTTGCACTGGGCGGTAGGAGGTTCTCCAAGGAGATCTTGAGCCGTGCAAACTCACTTGGGTCTCGACTTGAGAAGTTGCGGATTGTTGGGCGTGGTCCATGGTAACCTGGCTCTGATATGAGGGCAGGTCTGGAGGGCAGTGGCTGTGTCCATGACCTATGTGGATGAGGCTGCGGTGGGGGAACTGGGTTACTGCTATGCTCACTCCTGTGACCACCATAAACTTGGTACTTGGGCTCATTTGTTGCCAAACTGGGTGGTCGCGGTGACAGCTTAGCAGGCTGGTACCAGGGAGTTGAATAATCAGCGTAGTTCTCCCATGACCGCGTAGCAGGAAGGGCACCATGTGCTGAGTGCTGTACATGTTGCTGACCCACAGACGGCTGAGTCACTGGGGCTGGAACTACTTCTTCCTTCGGTGGAAGCTCATCTGGTCTCCCGTTGGGGTGATGAGGCGTTATATAGTCGCCAGGCAGTAACTCTCCACTTACTGGGTCAGGCCATGGTGGTGGTGCAGGCCAATCATCCTCATCCTCACTATTGGGTTTGCCTACAAACGGTGCCGGTGGCTGCATCACCGTTAACTCTGGCTTGTTGCCATGTAGTGATGGGGTCTGAAGGTTACGGACAGTATCCACCAACTGTCTCATGTCTGCTCACTCACAGTGCTTTGAGCTCATCTATATCTGATGACATACGTTGCTGTGTCTGCTGAAGTAGAAACCTTTCTTGACGAATATTCTCCAGCTCTACTCAGTCATCCTCACGCGGAGGTCTGTAGTGCGGTGATGTAGGCAGGTGAGTAGAGTATTCTCGAAACCGATCCCTCGGCTCTCTCTCTGGAAACAGCTGCTGGCTGCCAGCCCCATAGCTAAAGTCCATCTCCTGGAAATTAGCATCACGCCTGTTGAGGTGCCTTGGTGGGGGAGAGTCATTGGGGGAGGTGAGGGGGGTCATCCTGGCCTTACCCTCCAGATGAGAAGTCTCTTCTTCCTGTCGGTATCTCTGACTAATGTATCCTAGATGATCCACATCATAGTCTGCATATCGCGTTGGAAGGCGGGTTTGCCTTCTAGGGCGTGCACCATAGGACTCATACCCTGGTAATTAGGGATGCACGATATTGGTTTTTTGAAACCGATACCAATAACTTCCTGCTTCTCAAGACCGATACCGATACCGATAACCGATAATAATATAATATATATATATATTAAATGTACCTGTAGTTTTTGCACACCTGGTGGTAAAAAAAAAGACTAGTAGTGAGCAAATGACATGAGCATTACTACTATGAACAAAACTAACCCTGGGGTCGTCTCTGGCAAACTTCTTGCCTTTTTCAAAAGCCTCGTCGATAGGTAAAAGCCCCGGTGCCTTTGCAGCTGGCTTTGGATTCGCCGCTAGTTTAGCAGCGCAGGCGTCTTCGTACGCTTTTAACACACCATCGTAGCGATGGCGATGTTTCAGGTGACTAATCAGGTTGGAAGTATTATAGCTCGTTGCCTTTTTCCCTCCTCGTGGAACTTCTGCATTGCATTTGTTAATACAAATAGCAAGCGAACTATCTAACTCTGAAACTTTGAAATAGTCCCATACTACCGACGACATGTTTGTTTACTGTCCTGGCTTCACGGCCGCACACCATTTACGTCACAGCCAGGCATGAGTTAGGGAGCGCTGGATTTGTGAAAAACTCCCCTCTTCCTAAACCACTAATACCACAGTACTGGCAAAACGGGAGGATCCGAGGGAAAAACAAGCGCCCCTCATCCCAATCCACCCGCACCGCAGTATTTTTTTCTTTTTTTTTACCAAAAAATATATTGTATATTATCGGGGCTATTAATACTTTTATCGGGTTTATCGGGATGACGTCATAATTCCTAATATCGGACCGATAATTATCGTGCACCACTACTGGTAATGGTTCCATCTCTGACGTAAACCTTGTGAAATCCGGCTCGAAGGACCATCAATGTAGTGGAGAGTTAGAGATAACTCAGTGTTGGCACTAGTTTTGTGTCTATCACTAGGTTCACCCAGGTGTGTGGGCCAGAACCACCACTTCAGGCCAAAGGTCCAGAATAGAGGAAATGAGGAGCTACGATGAGGTTTGACTTCTTTACTTATTTAGGCAGACATACAGATATTTGTCTGTGTGTGTGTGTGTGTGGTTTTTCCTCCAAGGGAAATAAACAAAATACAATCAATAAAGGGATGCTCCGATCGATCGATCGGTCACCGATCGAGATCGGCCGATACTCACTCTACCGATCGATCGGTGCTCTCTAAACATGCCGATCGCGAGAGCCGATCGCATGACGTAAAATACATGACACTTTTCTCTGTGTGAGCCAAAACAAGCTCGCCAAAATGGCTTCACCGGTCTGGCATTATTTTAAGGTGTCCGAAAAAGACAGTAAAATAGCGGTATGCAACGTGTGTGAAGCAGAAATCCTGCAGCTCCGCCCGCCGGACCGGTAAGCGCAGCAAAACACACACACAGGGAGAACCAGACCGCAGTTCATTTCCTCATATTCTAAACGAGAAATTACTGTAGCAAATCACCCGGTTCTTTACGACCAGAACTATTAACGGGATACAAACCGGAGGAACCAGGCATTGAGGGAGGTGGCAGAGACAGTGGGTGAAACTGGTAGGTTTTCGCCTGTTTGGGGAGTTTATACATATATATTGCTCGCATAAAATCCCCGGGGTTTTTGGCTTTGTATGTCGGGGGCGGGAGATTCATGTGATTGGTTGTTGGTCGCGTTGCTCGCAAAAAATCCCCAAGCTTTCAGACACGCCCAGCTCCAAGATTTTCAAGATTTTTGAAAAGCTGCTGTGTGGACGTACCGTAAGAGTTAGACCTAACACACTTAGCTATTTTATCTACCTCTGGAACAAGCTAAACTAGTTATTATAAATATATGTATTCTTCATTGTCGGGTCACTCATTACTGGATCAGTGAGCTGCATGAGATACTGACAGGCTGTCAGGAGAGGGAGAGAGGGGGGAGAGAGGAAAAGAGAGCGCTTCCGCTCATTTCTCCCGTGTTATTATCCAAAGTGAATGTAAACTTGAATAATGTACATCATTTGAATGTA